TATTATTTTTGGGAGAACAAATTTATGGGGGTCCTTTTAGTGGAGAGCTTATACCCATGAAACAAACAAACAAATAAACCCATGAAAAGTAATGTGTCAACATACCAAAATTTTATTAGGTAATCCATTTTCAAAGATGTCATGTTGTAAAAAGCAGTTTCTCGAAGATTGAGTCTATAAAACTGTTAAAAAAATGGCCCATATTGACCTGTGCAGCATATTTATTCGTATAACATTTTGATACGTTAGCCTAACAAAGTGCACTTAATTATAATAATTCACACAAAACATTGATTATACGAGGGTTGTCCCAAAAAGTTGTACATAATTTCCATAACTTTGTAAACATTGAACCAATACTAAGCAAATTCTGCATAGCAATAATCTATTCAATGTTCCTTAAAAAGTGAATTTTTAAACAAATATCTTACATGGTAATTATATTATGACTATTTATAAGAAGGCCGATATGGTCTGTCGGTGCACGAACAAATTCTGGAATAAATTACATATGTAACTATTTCAAATGCATTTGTTTCTCTGATAAGAACATAAAATTCAAATTTATATCAGTTAAACCAAAAACAAAATCTTAGTAATATGTCAGATTTTCATATAAATGGCGTCAGAAACAGAAGATTGGCATTGTAATTTTCAAAGTTTTGTTGGAATTGAGTTTGTTGCAAATGACGTCGTCAAACGCGTTCACGGCGCATGGGGATGTACTTGATTTGCTTTGAATGTTGTTTTTCCTCTCTAGAGACGGAAAACGATAAGGAAGCGACATTACACACTAGAATGTTAGTAGATTGATTGATTGATTGTAATATGTTGTTTTACGTCCCGTTCAAGAATTTTTTTTCACTCATATATAGACGTCACCATGTATGCCGGTGAAAGGCTACAAATTTAGTCCTTTACTCTGCACTCGGGACCATTGAAAAGTGATGGTTCTTTTTCGTGCCAACGCCTACCGTGACACGGGGCCTCGGTTTTTTAGGTCTCATCCGAAGTACCCGCAACTTTCACTTTAATGTACCGAGCGCTTGGCGAAGGAACTGCTGTTAACTTAGGTCAGTCGCGGTCGTGATTCGAACACCCAACCTTCCAATCACGGATCGAGCGCTCTACCGACTTAGCTACCGTGACGGCAGAATGTTAGTAGAGAAATTGTTTATAAAATGGCAAAGAGATTCAAGGACAGTTTTCACCTCCGCAGCGAAAATAGTTAGGCCTATAAGAAGTAGAGTTCTGTTTGTTAAATTCAGATGGTGATGAACGTTATGGGTCACGATCGACGTCAAACTTTGTGTATCTTCTGCTCCTTACAATGTAATGCGAGTTTTCGAGGACTGAAATTTGAATCAGATAAAAATTTATGGACAGTGGTGAATGATCCCTCAGTCAAGAATGATGTGCAGTTTGAAAAAAAATTAAGATGCTTAAGAGACATGTGTTAAGCACAGGGGCAGTCCTTAAAAAATGAAGATGACGTTATAGGAGACGTAAATTATGCTTGTTTTCTTGAGCCGATGTACACTTATATGTTTTCTTTATTGCAGTCTTTCTTTATTTAATGTGTTATTACCAGAAAACTTGAAATTCATGATGATTAAATGTTGCTTTTTACCATGACAAGAAAAGAAATTTGATTTAGCGAAGAGAAACTAAATTGTTGTCTAAGACTTTTTGGGACAACCTTCGTATATGGTTATAACATGTTTCTATTCTATTTTTGTATTATAGTTTGACTGCCTAGGTTCTAATTCTTATTTATTGACAACTTTGAGGATCGACGTGTACATTTTCACAAGTTTCAATATTTTGCGTTTCGGAGTATACACTGCTGAGAGGCAATACCTGATAAATAAGCATGTTGGCATACAATTTTTCTTATGTATGTCCATTTCTGGGATGCATATGTATTTTTCTTAAAAAACGTGTTCTTCAAGCCTATTTAATGCCTAGTATAGAACTACCTTAATTTGCTAACAATGTAAAAGTAAAACATCCAAATATAAAACAGATGTGTCAGGCTATGTGGTGTCTTTTATGTCAAGTTCGGTGGGATACATCGAATCAATGTAGGAATGAATATGATCATTCTTAATTGAAAATAAAGTATGCAAATGATTTATGCATTTTTTCTTTTTTCATTTTTGGCAAACATGGCCTTGAAAAACTTAACAAATGATGCCACCGGTATTTCTTTGATACAAATTTATACCGTTGGGTCACGCTTTTTTCAATACTACAAGAGAACCTTAACTTTTAAGAGTGAAATCGTTGGTGAATCAGTCACAATGTGAAAGGGATGAAATACATAATGAAACGTGTATATAATGTCAAAAAATGCTATAAAACATGAATTTATAATTTTCGCAAAGGAATAAAATATCCGCAGTAGGGTGATTATTCCCCCTTTGTTTTCCAATTTCTTGAAAACGTTTGCATTTCTCGGTAAACCTTGCTATTGTTTTTTGATATTCTAACTTGCTGATTAAAGCCAATCCAAAAATCACACTTAACAGGAATTCACTCTTTAAAGCAGTACATACAATGATCAAACACATTTTACCGTTAAAATTTCGTTTCTGATTTCCGTTGTCACTGGTTTTGAGAGATGGACATTTAAGGAGAATGCCATCCGAAACACTTTTCAAATCTTCCAGTGTTTTATAGTATTCCTAAAATATTTTGAAAATCTTTTCCTGAATTTTTTAGAACTATTTTAAAAATAGAATAGTTATAGTTTGAATCATTTTTTTATCAAATAACAACACTTCCTACTTTCGCAGATTGTACGCAGTTTGTTAGTTAAGTACCGTTTTCCTTGTATACTTCCTGTAGATTGCTAATGTTCAAAATGAGTACTTTTGAAATAAAAGGAAATCCTATTGTAGATGTTTATAATCAAAGAATTTCAAAACTAACGATACCTCTGGAACACTGACTTTCCATTAACTACTATTGATTGATATTGAAAAATGGAAAGGCATTCGCCAGAGAAAGAGCTGGTAAGACTAGGAATAAAACCCCATTTTTTCTACACTTAGTGTTATTCATATGAGAAAATATACAAGTCTTTAATCGGTGAATTTTAGTTCACTAGGCCTACAAACTTCTTACCGGAACTGAATTCCTTTTGTTTTAATGTTTTGTACCACACAATACAAAGTAGACGGTGGAATATTGGGTGTTTCAGCTTTCTTTCCTCAATTCCTGAATTCCTTTTGTTTTAATGTTTTGTACCACACAATACAAAGTAGACGATGGAATATTGGGTGTTTCAGCTTTCTTTCCTCAATAGCAGTAATTTTGAACATCAGCAGAAAACAGGAAATATTTAAAATAAATGAGAGGCTATTTATCCATGAAAACTGCATGTAGAAGGTACGGAGTATCGTCATTTAATAAAATAGTAGCATTAAATTATACTTTATGCTATTAATCCAACATGTTGGATAATTCTATTATTAAAAAAATCTCAATAATTTCATAAAATCAATTAACTTCCTTGTGTACCAAGATTGCTGGATACGGAGTGTGCTCTCATTACTGCTATCAACATATAACATTTCAATTTCCTGCTGAATATATCGACTTCAAAATGTACCTACTTCAAACTCTTTCCTTCATCAATGAAACTCTGAGAGCGTCAAATCAAAAAACTAGCATAAGGATATTATTTATTGCTTGTTATACTTATACAATTTGTTTTCTTCTTTCCATAAAATGGTAATGTGCCTTTCCCCATCGATAGTGAAAAGCTGTGAATCTATAAATAATTAACTGCATTATCTATCATTATAGCTCTACAGAAATGCGGGCAAAAAAAGGAATAATAAGAATAACAAGAATAATAAATAAGAATAATTGCATTATATTTATATTATTCGAAATGTATTCATTGACTGGTGAGAAAGGTGCCAGGAACTAATCCTGTAATGAAACGTTAATAGTTTCCATTTTGTCTACCGCAAAATAAAAAAAAAATATGGCAACTACATGTATTGATTTGCAGTTTAATACAGACGGTGAAGATGCTGAAAACATCGGCAGGGATGTCTTTAACACTTATACATGTGTGAAGAGCAATTATTTAAATGAGGGTCAGTAATAACATTCGGAAGAAATCTTTCGGAAAAGTGCTGTTATAACGTGACGTTTCATAGAAAAGAATTCTCTATTTTTTTTTTTAAATATTATTTCTGATTTTTACATTGATCGAGTCACTTACATGCCGACAAACATGCATCTTCTTGAAAATAGAATTACTGAGTTATGCATGTATATCTTGAAAGTTTGTATTACATATACCGTGGAGTCATCAATAACGGCGTCAATGATCGTGGCCAAGCAAAATTTTATTCGTTCGTGGGGGAGTAATTCACTGGGTAACTCGTTTATACAGAAGATTTATTGCATAAATATTTTAACAATATAATCATCGTTGGTTTGTAAAATTCGTGAGTAAGGATGACCCACGAAATCAACGAACAACTGCTCCTTATAAACAATGATGATTCCACTGTACACATAAATTTATTTTGGTAAGCGTGTTCTACAACTTATTGCAAGGTTTGTTACAATTATAAATTCATTTGTTTTTACATGGATCATGCAAGGATATAATACACAAAAATGAAAATTAAAAATTGTGAAAACAACAAAAGTGTATATACCAATATACATCTTTTAAATAATCTGATAAAAAAAAAGCTTACCACAATGTATGTAATTTGTGTCAGGATGATTAGTTCGCTAGTACAAGATTTTTTAAGTATAGCAAAACACATAAAATTCTTACTTTTTTGTCATTTTTCAGAATTAAAAATAATGTATTACAAATACCTTGTCTTACTATTCACATGTGAACGGTATATGACTATTTGTTTGAATATAATATAATCATGATTACTTTGAGATGATATTTTTAACGATAATTTTTCATAAAAATGAATGAATGATTGATTGTTAGTTTCTAATAGCTGGCCAGAATAAAAACCCTTTATTTGCATTTACAGGTGCAAAAAAAATTGATAAAAGCGTTCCTAAACACTACATCAAAATAACCGTATATAATAGGATTGACGATATGATTTATAATTGATGACCTCCTTAGTAACATAATGAAATTTAAAGTTACTGTATCCATAGAGTACCAATAATGAAATGGATCTTTTGTTGCCAAAAGAATAGTGACAAACGTTGGGAGATATGATAACATATAAAATATTATTATAGTTATAAACATGTAGGTGAAGTTATTTCTAACATTAACGGTTTTTCTCTGTCTTGTACTGATAGATTTGAGTGCAATATTCGTGCAGCTGTCTCTCTTTTTGTTAATATTAACAGAAGTACTTTTTATCTCAAAAGCATTTTCTACACCATCACCCTTGTATACTGCATCCGGTTCCCAAGCAGGTACTTTATCACAGTCTTTTCCAAGGTCTTTCTGGGTATAACAAAGATCTGTACTTTGAGTTTCTTCTTTTCGCATTCCTTTTCTGTCATAATCAATGTCGGTGGAAAACGAAGTTTCCACTGTTTCTCTAGCGGACGCCGAAGTTGAATCTCTGTTTCCACTGCTTTCGGGAAGTTTCGGAGGTTTTCTTTTTTGCTTAGTTCTTTTCTGAAACCTTCTGTAAATCTGAAGCCCTATCGGGACATATAACGCTGCTGTTAGCCCTGCATTTGAAAATATTACACAAATTTCGAAGAAAATGTAGACCATTTTCAAAATGTGTGTTGATCCAGAGAATTCTCTTAGCTCACACATCACCACGGTAACGTTACTTTCCAGACATATAGCATTCTGGGAGCGGTAACCAGCAAAGTAAATTACCGGAAGAGTGTTGATAATTGCAAAAGCTAGACATCCATAAACGGCACACTTCTTTAAAAATATTGTCATTTGTTTTCCTGTTGGACGACAAATTTTTAAATATCTACTGATAGAAATCATTAACAAAATAAATGCGGACCACGACGTTGTCACCCAAGAAAAATAGTGAAGAAGCTGGCACAAAATTTCATATGGAAAGTTAACATAATGAAAATTAATTGTTATCCCAAGCAATGCCAAACAAACACTCGACAATAAATCCGCCACTGCCAGATGGGGTATGAAAAATCGTTCCTCTGTTTGAGGCATCTTGAATTTGTAAAGGTATAGAACCTGACCATTTCCTAATATCCCAAGACAAAGGAACATTCCAATGAGAATGGTATTAAAAAACAACGCATTCTCGAAGTGCAAATTACAAGCTTCAATTGTGAAGTTCATACTGTTATAAACAGTCAGTTTAGTATTTGTGTAAAGACTAACAAAAGTCAGATTTTCTCTTTTTATATATTTATACGAAAGAGGAAGTATAGATGCACTAAAGTGTTACAGGAAGACGTCAAAATAGGAAACAAAACACTCTACTTTATTTTAATTAGAAATCGATCGACTGTTGACTGATGCAAAGCATTAAAAGCAATGGTTTGAATAATTACTGTTTTAAAAATTTACTGAAAACCAGGAGAACAATATTTTGTACAATAAAATGTATTACTTTTTCCGTTTACAATGTGAACGTTTCTCTTCATGCATACTACCTAAATTCTTATTGCTTATGAAAGATGAAAAGAAGTGACATGGAAATTGAAAAGAAATTAAAAGCATGCTATATGCTTTAAACAACATATAATACATGTAGTAGGCATCTCATGTAGAATTTGACTTGTGGATACCATAATTACCTACTTTATATATTTTCCCTGACAGTACAAAATGATTCGCAAGGAATACATAAGTGTGCAGATGCTAACAATGAATTGACAACATGTTTACTGTGCAGTTTTAAGCATGATTCAATAAATGAAAATTGTAATGTGATTTTTTTCGACATACGCACATCCCTGAACCAATACGAGTATTCCAGGTATTTTTCCCTGCGTTTTCTCATTATGCATATGCATGTTTTTGTATTTTGATTTTCTACCTTTAGCTTGCATCTAAAGTTTTAAAAATGTTCTTCTAACACGTTTTCAAGTTTGCTACAGTTTATAGAATAGTTTTGAGTTTTCAAATATGCTTTCAGGTAGTTCATGGTGTCTTCATATACTTTATTATCAAAGATTTATAAAGGTCGAAAGTCAATAGAAAATGGAAAAGAGTTGTTAGGCAGTCAGTTTGGTGTCTGCAGGTGGTTCCTGCAGATAGATTTGTACAAAAAATGAAAAACAAATAATTAATTTTTATTGCTTTCGTTTACTTGTAAATGCTGCTAGTAGATTAAGAAATTTAAAAATGTTCTCTACATGTGGCCTTGAAATTCAATACACACCATAAGACCATTGCAAGATTGCATAGCAAACCTGTGGCAAGTGTGGTGGACCGGGTGCATATGCCAAAGTACTGGACGTCTAATAGGCGATATGATCAACATATTGCACTACATTATTTCAGAAACATGAACACCGCCCTGCTGCAACCTCACTGACCACTACCATTCACAACCAACTTCATGCCACTACCATTTAGGATCTTTATTTAACTCCCAAACATCTGCAAACTTGGATTCATTGGAAGAATGGCATATTAAAATTACTTGTTCTGATTATACAAATGTTCAATATATATATGAGAATAAAGAGTGGTGCATTGCAATTTAATTTAGTGTACATATGAATGTATATAAAAAAATTATAAAATATATTTAAGTTGTTACATGCATTCATTTTTATATGATAAAATTACACAAGTCTAACCGAGGAAAGAAAACGAAGGAAAGTGATATCAGTAAAAAAAAAACAGAAGTTAAAGTTATTTACATTTTAATTTATTTATTAATTTGCATTCGTCTTCGTAGAAAGAAAATGAGAAGTAATTCATAGCAGATGCAAGTGTTTGCACAAAAAAAGGATACAGACTTCTAACATGTTATATAGATACCCTGCTGTAATTGACTCTATATAGTGCAATTTCTTTTCAGAAAGAAATGTTACATATATGCTTTCGTTTGTTTCTGTTCTCATTTACAATATCTAGGTCAGTTTTGTTTGATTTATTCAGGCCATCTTTAAGTAGTGTATTAAGCTTATCTTTTGCTTCCATTTCTTTCTTCATTTTCATAATTATTTCATCTTTTTTCATAAGTTCATTCTCTACTTCCTCCTTTTCACGCTTTAGTTTCACTATTTCTTTCTCTTTTTTCTTGAGTAAACTTTTTATTTCTTTGTTATCTGTCTTAAGTTTATGAATTTCATCAATTTTTTCTGACTTCATTTCATGAAGTCTCTTTTCTATGTCCTGTACTTTTTCTTCAAGTGATCTCTTCTCTGCTTCTAACGTTAAAATTTGATCCTGTGTTTCCTCCAGTTTCTTTATTTTGTCTCGAATATATCTGATTTCTTTTTGCATTAAAAGAATTAAATTTTCAAAAATAAAATTCTATTTGTAAATCTCTAATAATCATCCAAAATCTTCATCTTTTTTGTATATCCATCATATGATATGATTAAGTTTGTTGTAGGGATGGCAATCGAATACAGAATTGCTAATCGGTTAACCGCAAGACGTTCCGACCGATTAAACGGTTTATCGTATCAAAACAGATATTTTCTTATTCATATACACAAGAAGACTGAAAAAGAAGTTAGAAGTTAAAAACATTCTATTTATCTTGATCAGGAAACTACATGTAAATATATTTTATTTCAATTTCAATAATCTATTAAAAAAATAAGAAAACCATGAAACATGTCTGAGAAATCGGGCATTGATAATTTTTCAGAGCATATGTCACACAGGTTCATTTTGCATTGTTACAATAATCAAAACTATGACTAAACTTTCACTTAATTTACAATGTTTGTCTAATGATATAATTTAATAGATAACGGAAAAAGACACAATACCAATTCACAGTGCTCAACGGTGATTTAAAATCATTAAAGAATTACAGGACAATCGGGGTAACGACGTGGTGTTTTTAAAAACAGTAATTAACTTCACAAACTGACCAACTACTCCGCAATCTCAAACCGTAAAGCCATAATTACTTCCAAATCAGCTTAAACAGATATGTGTAAATTATCAAAATTTATGCAGGAATTTTTGCTTAGAAATAATTTTGGGAAAATTGCTTCAAATTTACATATATTTTATTTTTCCCGACTAACCGATTACAGATTTTCTAACCGATTACCATCGTTCCGACCGAGTAATCGCTTAACCGGTTATAAACTGCCATCCCTAGTTTGTTGATATATCACTTTTTTGTTACAAAATAGTTATGATGATGAAACAGATGTTTCATATCTTGTTTTAATCTTATTGTAAAACTAAGAAATATACCTGGGCTGGTGTCCATGATTGCTCATCTGAAATTGAAACAAAATTTATTTCAACAGATTAGATATCTACTGCAATCACTTTCTCGTAGGTTTTAAAAAGACAATATCATACCAAATAACCAACAGCTATCATTTTCTGTCAACCATGACATTTTCCTCACTCTTGGTTCATTAAAATTACCAGTCTACTCTTTGACAAAAAAAAATTAGATGCACTTTCTTAGGTCCAGCCGTCTCCTGCAGGCTAGGTTTCTAACCTCCCGAGCAAACATTTAACACTTGCTGTTAACCCTGACATTATTATAACTTGCTTCGAGAAAGAGTTAATTATTCATAACAACAGTCAACAAAATATTAAGTCAAATTACCTAAAACTAATAGAACTTTAATTTCTAATTAGTATGCTTCTTTTAATTTCAGTGTTTCTATTGGGTATTCATATTTTCCAGTTCCAATGTGGACTTCGATTGATTTTACTTCAGATGTTTTATTATTATTATTATTATTATTTTGGCCATACAATTATTACTTCACGAATCTTGATCAATCTAAAAATATAAAAAGAAATTAATTACCCATAACACTCTGGTCTTCATTTCTGTCACTGGAAGACAAAAAACATGATAACAATACATATTGCTCTGAAAAGAACACCCTTCACATCATTTTCATGCAGTAATGGAAAAATCAAATAATTATATATATATGTTTGCTATGTTTATAATTTAGGGTTTCCTCCACAAACCAAAGATTCTAAATGATCTGACCACATTATCTGCTTAATAAGAAAGAATCTTTGGGGAATTGAATAATTTTTATTCAAGAAACGTGTGCTTCTTGATACGATTAATGAAAAGGCATTTTTTCCAGCTATCTAGAGTTTTACATTGAAATAAAAAGAAGTCTGTGAGCCAATGCTCACTAGTAATATCCCCGCTCTGATGTGAATATTCCCTGTCCTGTGGATATGCAGAAATATGGTAAGGAAAGACGTCCGCATACATGTAAAAAGGAGGTTGACATTGGATTCATACAAAAATGAATCCCAGCAAATGGCATGCCAAAACAAAGAGTGTGCTAAAATTCCAAGCAGTTTCTTAGAAAACCGCCACGAAAATTTGTTACGGATAGAAACACAGACAGACACACAATGGTAAAACATTATTATATAATACCCCCTCTCCTTCGGAGCGGGGGTATAATTAAGAAAATAGGAAAAAAAAAGATTAAATGGTTAATAGGGCTCGGAAAATATAAATGTGATTAGTTTTTCTGCTCCTAAGTCCATTACCTGGATTGAATGCCAATTTTTTTGAGTACCTCCTCTACAACAGCTGGTAACATTTCCATCAAGGTGGACTGAAATGGGTTATCTTTATTCACGGCTGATTCGTGACCTTCGCATGTGGCAGTTGATGTTAGTGCATTTACAGTTTCTGTTGGCATATCATCATTATCTAAAATGCGGTTTCGTTAAAATATTCATTAGATTGCACTATTTGAATCCTAATCTAACATTTGTGTGCGTTTACATCCATTATAACCAATCATTGGTTAATAATACATATTCAGTTTCTTGCTGTTGCAGTAAGATTATTTTACAATTTTGTATATGTGCATTTAACTCTTTCTACATGAAATAAAGATCCTTGAATAAAACATTTTGAGGTTCAAAGAAAGTTTTTGTAGTTTAAATTAAACAGTAAAAATTATGGAATAGAAAACTGATAATAAAAATCTATTCGTATAGAGGTAAGTAAAATCAAGCATTCAGAAAATCAAGAGGCTCATCGGCTCCTCAAGGTTTGATCACAGCTGGTGAGGATTCTATCAACATTGTCGTACATGTACACGTATTCATGTTCATTTTGTTCAGAAGTGAAAAAAGTCACTGTATAATATATTCTAGCATGTGATCAATTTAGTACAACCTGAAGCCTGA